TGAGTAAATTCCATCTAGTATTGCTGTTGCATTGGTTTACCCTTTGTCCCACCTTTTCTGATTTTCCCTTCTATTCCCCAAATCAGATAAACTTGTATACAAGACAAAGGGTACTGAAATGGGAAACAGTGACCATAGGGACTAAACCAGAGGAGAAAAAAGCAAGACAGGAAATAACTGCAAACAATACACTAAAGAAAAACCAAACCAAACCACCACCACCACCACACACATACACACACAAACCCTTGTTTCCATATCATGGAGATCATTTCAATTAGCATCATTTTATTTGGTCATAGCTGTTGGGCTATTGTGATCCTCGGTTAAGACTATCCTAGGCATATACTAATTATTACAAATGAGGGAAACCATGGAGCCTACGTTTCTTTGGGTCTGGCTTACTTCACTTAATATGATTTTTTTCCAAGACTTTCCATTTCCTTATGAATGGAACAATATTCTTTCTGATGAAAATGTAGAATTCCATTGTGTATATACACCACAATTTTTCTTGGTCCATTCATCTACTGAAGGGCATCTGGGTTGATTCCATATCATAGCTATGGTAAATAATGCTACAATGAACATAGCTGTGCTGGTAGCTTTAGTGTGGGCTTGTGTGTGATCATTTGGGTAAATGCCCAGGAGTGGGATTGCTGGGTCACAGGGGAGCTCTATGATTAGTCTTTTGAGGAACCTCCATACTGCTTTCCAGAGTGGTTGAACCAGTTAACATTCCCACAAACAGTGAAGTAGCATTCTCTTTTGGCCACATCCCCTCCAGCATCTGTTATTATTTGTTTTCTTGATAATGGCCATTCTAATTGGGGTAAGGTGAAATCTCAATGTAGTTTTGATTTGCATTTCTTTTATGGCTAGAGATTCTGAACATTTCATGTGTCATGAGCAACTATTAGCTACATCAGCTACCCCAGGAAGAATCAAATAAAGTACAGGAATATTTAGGATAATCCACTGCTCAGAAGATCTGTGCATTTGGCATTTTATGCACGTAACTTGTGTAAGAAATGTGAGATAAACAAGCCTATGTTATGCTTCCAATCTAACATGTGATTAGTGCTGGATAAATACTTGGGATTACAATCTAGGTATACAAACACTACATTTGAAAACTTTAAGGACATTTATTAGAATTCTGAGAATTACTTAAGTACTTGGGAGACTGTGTCACAAAATTCAAAACACTCCAAAAGAAAATCTAACATATCATATTTGTAAACAAGGTAACTTGCATGTTTAAATGAGTTTTTCTAAGTTTGAAAACACGAATAAAAAGCTGCTTTAAAGTTATTTTAAAAGGATAGATTTATAAACAGAATATGAAGATTAATTTAGAAAACAGCCTTTAAAATTTATAACTTAATCAGTTATTCACTTTTAAACCAACTGAAGTCTCTGAAAAAAAAGTTCTTGGTGCCTACAATGTGCCCTCAGAGATTTACCATCCATCACATCAGCGCATGCGTTCATAGAAGCACATGGCAGGATCACTGATGTAAAATTCTTGTCAGGTTTCTCACCACCCCATGAGGCCCAGTACAGAGCAGTTCCAGGCATTCTGGACATCAGTCTTTAAAAGTGAGGGTTCATCTTCATTGAATCTGTGTTTCTTTTTTCCCCTGCAGCTGCCCTGTTGCCAGGGGAGAGCAGATGTTACATAAACATTTGTTTGAATTAAACTTAATTAGCTACATTTTCCAAGCCCTGTTTTTAAATGGCACATTCTGGGAAGTGATCCTGAAGAGGCTTGGCTTCAAACGATGAAAAGACTCAGAATAAACTGGAATTTACCAGCCACATTTGCAATATTAGCACTTGCTGGATGGCAACGCTGAGAAGAATTTGGTCCCCTCCAGCAGAATGGTTGACTGCCCTGAACACACGCTTTTATATACACAGGGGGCCACACCACTTGCTGCCTCATCCCACTCATGCTCCTGGGGAGTTGGGCTCTCCTCACATGATGACTCTTCCTAACAGCAAGAGCTGCCTTCACTAAATGCCTCAACATAGATCCACATAACACTTGACATTCATCACTGAAACACACGTGGCATTTTTTCAAACACTAGAATTTTAAACACTGCACTTCCAAGATTTATGAGACTTAAAACAACATGGAAAACACCAATACTTACATAACACTATAGAAAAAGTAGCTTCTATATACTGCAGAAAATGCGGTGGTATATCCACAAAGTGTAAGCTAGTTTGGAAGCAGTAATTTAATTACTGCAGACTTAAAACTATTGCCATATGTTATTTTGAGATACTGGAATGTAGAGTGGAATTTTAAAATGTTACCTAAACAGACGAACTTGAAAGAAAACTGATTTGAGTTTATATTTATCATTTTTTCTAATAATCTAATATTTGTCTTCCAAAATAGATTTTTTAAAATTTACTCCTTACTTTGTGCCATTCTGAGGCTTGAACTCAGGGCCTAGGCACTATCTCTGAGCTTTTTCTGCTCAAGGCTAGCACTCTACCATTTGAGCCATAGCTCAACTTCTGGCTTTCTGGTAGTTTACTGGAGATAAACGTCTCACAGATTTTCCTGACTGGGCTGGCTTCAACTGTGATCCTCAGATCTCAGCCTCTTGAATAGCTAGGATTATAGGCATGAGCCACCATGCATAGCTTCCAAAACAGAGTATTTTTTAAAAGAACAGTATCATATAAATTTTCGCTCTATCTTAAAATATTTGGAAGTTGAATTTCAGACCTCAGAGGAAGGGATAAAGGAATATCTACCTTCTAAAATGTAATACATTTACTGAAGAAACCTTTTTCTAGCTTTCTTCTCATGCTTTTGCTTTGTAAATTCTCTTAATTATGCAGTAGTTTACAGTTACCATAGTAAATTAAATATGGATTTTCAAACTTCAATGCTTACTGACATACCGGCTGAGCACTTCTGGAGGGGAGAAGAGCATCCTGTGGTGGGATGTCCAACCGTTTCCTTATCTTCTCCTTTCTAGATGTAAAGAACATTCCTATTGTCTTGATTAACAAAAATGTTTCCAGATATTGACAAATATGCCTATGGGAATAAAACTTCCCTCAGTAGAGAACCTTTATGCAAAATAAAAATAAAAATCACTGATTTCCATCCCCCCATAATTATGTTTAGTTTGTATCTTTATAATCAGTTTTCCTTTTGGTATTGTGAACCATATGAGTACATTAGACATATAACTTTGTTACTGATCTGTGCAGCCTATTTAACAAATATTTTTCATAATAAGCATATATTGCCATCATATATATGGTATTAATATAACATACATAATTTAATATATATTTATATAAATGCCATATATATAATATATACACATGGTATTCTCTCCATGAGTTTGTATGGAGTATAAATTATTCAAATTATCTTGGGATATTTAAGTTCCAATTTTATCCCCTCAAAGACAAAAATAAAGGCATAAAAGTTTTCCTTTGGTTTGATACTCTTGGGAAAAATTTTCTTTCCCTAAGGACCTCACGGATTTCCTTCATTATCTGTGTTACTAGAAGTGGCTGAGAAGGGTAAGTCAGATGTTGATGGATACTTTACAGTCTCTTTTGCATGTTGTACCAAGACACCTGGAGTTCTTGCTTTATCTTTAAAGCTAAGAAATGCTGTGCTTAAAATATCAATGTAATATCAATGTATTGGTATTTGCTGGAATACAGTATTCTTTTCCTTAGAGAAAATTCTATATTGATCCCAATAAACATTTATTTCTTTGTATCCTTAAGAAAAATGACTTCTCAGCTGTTTTTCCACATAAAGGATACCAATTATTCTTACGTTGGATCATCTTTGCTCTATGTTTTTCTGAGTCCTTTAACTTCTTCATTTCTCACTCTTCATTTTGTCACTGTTTTACAGTTTTCACATTAATAAGAAACTACAACCAAGTTTATTATGCTGAATTAGTAAGTGTAGTTAAATTAGGGCTTTTTAATCTGACACATTTAGTATTTCAGGCTAGAAAATTCTTCACTGGCAGTTGATCTTATGTGCACTGTAATTTATTTAGGATTTATATCTTTGTGACTTGATTATTCAGTATTAGCTTTCTCAACATAGTCTTGAGTTAGTTTCGTTAGCTCACTTTTCTTCTTGGTTTATGTCTGTGATCACATTATTGCCTAACTAAAATTAATAGTTTTAATTTTTATACCACAAAGCTTTTCGAAAAAGCTTTAATTTTTTTATGTGCTTATTCAAAAGGGATCATGTGTCTCTTATGTGTAGTGTTTTTTAGTTTTCTATCTTTGTGTCTTTGTTCCCTTACAATTATTTTGTACACAGATGCCAAGCTGCTTCATTTTTTTTTTACTTATCCATGCTCATCCCAGATACATTGTGTACAAACTCCCTATGATCTCTTATATATGAGATCAGACTTCCATCCCTCTGAACTTAAGGAAAAACTAACTATTCAATCTCTTTCTCTCAGGCAGTGTAGTATTGATGGGAACATTTAATAAATAAAACCATTTATCACTTGCCCCTCTGTCCCTCTGCTGCTTTCTTACATGTGGTCATGACTTGGGAAGTGGGGAAGGTAATGTGAAACTTATGAGAACAATTTAAGTCAGTAACAAACTAACAAACAAGTATTACTGGTACATGCTGATGCACTGAAAGGAAATTTATTAGTGATGGCGACCTGTCCCGTTAAATGGGAGATCATGCCAGTGTATTTCCTTGGGTACTGTACAGACTGATATAATATCTGTAAGACACCTGAGACAGTCACTTAGGCTTCTTCATTAAACCAAACATTTATTCTTTCATTGAATTGTCTTTTGCTATAAAAATGTCTGGAGAGGGAACACAATAATCCCAGGACAACTGAGATTTTCTAATTTTAGAGCTATGCCTAAAGCACAAAGACCTAATTAGAGAAAACTTGTTTGAGAATAAAACTGACTGAAAACCACACACACACATATACATACACACACACGTCTTAGAGCTTATAAAACATAATTTTATTTAAATTTGGATATAGATAAAAATTTACCAAAGTTTAAAGAAAAGTCTAACAAATTTTCCACCACAAAATGGACATTATGGAAACAAGCTGCATTTGCCTCCATTATATTTTCTTAATTTTCTGCCACAAGCGGGTAGACACTGGGGGTGAGGGGATGAGAAAGAAGGTTCTGACTGTGAACACAGTGTGCTCTTCAGAGCTGTGTGCTCACGATATGACTTAATTAACAAAGACTTTTTCACACCAGCCAGTAGTCCTCAGTTCTGAAATTAAAATCTTTTACTGCAAAGTCACAATTGTGTAAGGCTTCAGGTTTTAATTTTAATGTGAGGTAAACAGTATTTTCAATATTAAGGCAAATGGTAAAATACAGGCACAATATAATAATGTGGAGCTTCCATTTGAAGACACATTTTAGAATAGTTATGGATTTTCTAAGTGTGCTGTAAATAGGAACTTATAAAACCTGCTGAAGTGTTCAAAAGCTATTTGCTCAAATACCTTGGCTTCTGGTAGTTAATATGTTAAATATAATCCTGAGATTTTTTTTATGGGCTGTGATTTTTCTATTATAGAGGATTAAATGGCAGCAAAGTTCTTGTGAATGAGCCCAGATCTGTCTTCTCATCCTGTACATACATTATTTGGCCACACAGACTGCTTCCAAAGTTGGCAAATCCTGCTCAATGAGCAAGCTCATCATGACAAAAGTATGAAACTGTAGGACATTGTTTTTATAAAGGTATATAAGTAAATTCAGATTCAGGCAGCCTAGATATCTTAGTTGAGAAAAGTCAGATTTCAGATTTTTATACAGTGATTCTTGCTCATCCCCCAGCCTTTCCTGAGAAAGAGCCATTTCTTCACAGTGAAAAGAGAACCATCCCTTCTCCTGGGGCGCAGAATGAAGGCATCACTTCCTTGTCACGCTGGCCACAGCCTTCTTGGCTGCATCCTCCAGATCCACTGCTGAAGTTATGGGGAGTCCACTGTTACTGAGGATGCTCTGGGCCTCCTTGACATTAGTTCCTGGAAAGGGGAACAAGGACCATCACTGAGTAATGGTGCTGCAGGTGGCACTGGGTCAAGCTGCACAATTGGAATCTTGACACTAGCACAATTTAACAGCAACAGTTTCAGCTTTTTGTGATCCAGAGCTGACATTTCTCTTCTCACTTCTACTAAGTAACATATGAAGCCTATATTTTCTATGGCACTTATACAAAGAGTAATGGGCTATCCTTAATGTTATGCAAAAAAGAGATTCACAATTACTTGCCCAATATGTTGGGGAAGAAAAGTCTGCACTGGATTTGTGCCCTAGTGTAAATACTCATCTGTGTAGAACCAAAAGAAAATGTTAAAAAAAAAAAAAAAAAAACCAAACCCTGAGAATGGCACAGTCAGGTGTATGCTTGGAGTGGATACTGGAGTACCACAAGGATCATGCAACTCAGCTGCCACATACAGCTTTTCACCAGGAGATACAGCAAACACAGGTTCTAATCCAGGTCGCTGATGAGAAGACTATGTGACAATGTCTACCTCAAACTGTGGTCCAGTTAAAGCTGATGAAAGTAAGGACTTGTATGAGGAAAGTGGGCTTCTACTGAGAGAAACGAAGATGGCTGCAGTATTATCACACACAAAGATGCTGACCTCATGTGGGACTGGTCCAATCCAGAGTGTCCTGCTGCAAAGGTCTGGTGGTAGGCAGGATTGTAAGTCATGACCTGATCAGAGAATTGAACTTTTGAAAGTCTTCACACCCATGCACAGGAATCCACTGCTTTGGAGACTCTAGCAACTTTCAAATGTCCTCTTCTGCTCTATTTAGTGGGCAGCAGCCTTGAAAAGGAGCAGTGCAGCCTGTGCTATCTCTTAACCATTCTTGGTGGGTCTGTAGTAATTACCAGGCAAGCCCAAGGGTGCTTCTGCATTACCTATTTAATATGGGTCCTTTTGATTCTTTCAGAGGGAAATAGGTGATTTAAGTGTCTAATCAAATCCTCCTTTTCATTTATTTCCTGTGTTTTTATGCAGTTGGCAAGACAGAATTTATAAACAAAGACTTGGAAATATAGGCTGTGGAGCCTGCCTTACTGCACAGAATACAAATAGGAACAAGCATTTGGTCAGTAGGTCAAACAGAAGCAGCTGGAATGAGAAAGTAAGGTATCCTGGCTTCTTCTGGGTCTCTGAGTCCACCAGAACAGCCAAGAAGGGAGGCTGGACACTGTGTCTTCTGCTAGGTCTTACTCATGCTACTTTACACCGGAATGGAAAGCAATTCCCCCAAATGTGGGCTGGGTGCCACCTGAAATCCCTCACCCTCTGGTTTTGCATCCACTGAGCAGTGTTTGGAAAATCATTAGAGTGGCCAAGCCTCAACTTCTTTATCTCTACACTGTCATGTCCATCATCTGCAGAATACTCTGCATAGTAATACATGCCAGGGATAAGGCTGAGTAACTTACATGCAGCATGTAAGACCTTCACAAAAACTATGGATAGACTCCACTGACTTTGTTTTACAGGTGGGCTAACTGTGACATAGAAGATTATTTGGGACAAAGACTGGACTTGAACTATTCTCTGTAATACACAATCTCAAGTGTTTTGAGACATATGCCAGTCTTCTTGTTTGTAAGATGAAGACAGTATAGATGAAACACAGGCTGTGATCAGAAGCAAATGAAACAATTTGTGAGCAACTGTTTCTATCAGTGGCCAAGTAGATGTGGCGGCTGCCAAGCAGATGTGGCGGCTGACCCCAAAGGTTCCTGTTACTTTTGGGCAGTACAGTACTGCTGCCAGGGAGTTGCTGCCCAGGCAGAAAGTATGCTCCCAGGCTTCTTTTCATCTAAACAGGATCAAAAAGTTCCTGCCAATGGGATGTGAATGGATAGAAAACATGCCCACATGTACAGTATGAACCTCCATACTCTTTTTGTACTGTCTTCCTTCTAGAATGTTGTCTGCTAGGCCAACCCTGGAAGACATCTTTTTGAAGATGGCAATGGCTCCTTCAGTGTGATCCTTGAATGTATACTAAGTAAAGCACCCCTTCTACTCATTTCCTCCAAGACCTCACAAGAATGAAAAAGAGTTTTCTCCAGTGGCATGCCTGGCATTTTTAGCACTGCTCTATTGTTCACTGGCTGTTATGACTTTGAGCAACATATTACTTTGTTGTATAAATATTGTGATCTGTAGCTTCTTAAATGGCTCTCAAATGATTAATTGATGAGTCCACTTCAGGTGTCCATATCCTGATATGATCTTTCCCCCTCCAGTGTCACCCAGTGCCAGCTTCTGATGAGTAAGATTATAGCCACTGTGATGGAACATCACTTTGGAGACTAGGGACAATACCATGGTTTCTATGTTGCTCGCTCTGACTCTTCATTTGTTCACCCTGGCAAACTGCCATTTTGTGAGCTGTCCTGTGGAGAAGCCCACGTGGCATGGATCTAAGGAGAGCCTCTGGATGGCAGTTACTGAGACATGAGGCCCTGAGGAAGGGCGTCTGCCAACAACCATGTGTGCATGCTTAGAAGAGAACTCTCCTGTGGGTCAGCACTGAGGCACGTATGGCCCTGCCAGACAGCCTTGTGAGTGATCTTGAATGAGAGGAGCAGGTCAGCCACACTCAAATTCCTGATCACAGATCTGGGAGACACTCATGTTCTTTCTGCTCTGATGTCAAGCTTAGGAATCATTTGTTACAAATGGATAGAAAACTAACACAGATGTTAAAAGTTTATTATTTCATCAATATAACCTTGATGTGCATTTGACTCATTTGGTAAGGTTTTAGCCAGTCTCAGCTTGAAAAGCAGGACAGGGGACTAGACTGTGTCAGGTGTTAGATAGGAGGCTAAGGAATTTAGACATTAATCTGTAGGCATGACTTTCACAGAGTAATGACAGAGTGTGAAACAAAAGCCCTGACTGACACACAAGTGAATCGGTCTCTAGACCAGAAGGTGAATGAAAGTTAAATGTGTAAATTTCTATTTCCCTCAGTGGAGACATGGACTAGAAATCCCTTCTATCTGTACTCCAGGGTGCCAGGGCAGAGATGTAAGTGAAGATACCAAAGCTCTTCTCCCTGCCCCCTGGCTCCTTGGTGTCCTTCACCTTCAGCACACAGCAATCAAGACCTCCTCTGTGCTGCTGGATTGCTGCTTCACAGCCTTCCCCACCACACACACACACACACACACACACACACACACACACACACACACACACAGAGTGCTCTTCCTGGGGCTGAGTTATCTCATGGTTCCACTAATTCTGAGAAACGCTCATTCCATTTTACCCAAGTTTCTTTCCATGTGTATGTGCAAAATAGCTTAAAAAGGCTGTTCTTCCTGAAACGGTAGCCTAAATAACTGAATTCCTTAATTAATAACCCTGCAGCACCCATTCAGCACCACTAATCCTGGAGGCAAAGAAGAAAGGATGATCTGGACCTTCATGAATGTCTAGACACTGGGCCTTGGTCCATGGGTGTGGACTGCACTCAGAGCCCAGCTGTCCTTGAGCAGTTGTGTTAGTTGCATGGTGTTGGGTATGCCTTCTATGGCTCTGCTCCTGGTTTCCCAGCTAACCTAAGCTTTTAAAATGATCTTCAGAGTTCCTCACACTTCTAAAATCATGCTAGTCATGCCACAGATGGGGCCTTATTGGGTTGGTTTAGTAAGTCTCCCCTCACCCCACCAAACTTTTGGTTTACTTTGTCAAGCCCTCTCACTGGGATGCTGTGCAAGTCTGCCACATACTACATACTTGCTGTCAGACTAAGTACGCATAAGTGGAGCTCACATACAAAGGCGCCTGAGGACAGGTGTGAATGGGCCTTCTCATCATTGCATTGGGCCAACAACTCAGCCTTTCTTACAGGGTTGAAATTGAAACCTCAAATTGCCTGAGGTGACATAAGAGGGACTATGTACTGGTTTCCGGAGGCCTTGCTCAGGGCCCCTTTATCTCTGACAAGAGCCCTGAGCAGCTGGAGGTGCCCTGGCTCTCCTCCAGTGAGGACTCTAGGCCCTGCCACTCTCCAGACCTGCAGTTCATGGGCCTCAGGCAAGACAGGCCTTCTTCTAAGACTAGAACAGTGGTAGGGCCAGGAGAACAAAGGGAGAGAGCAGTGCCCCAGAAACACTTGTCCTTCTCTCCTCTAAGCAGCTTCTTTGGTGCTGTGTCAAAATGCCTAATTGCTTCATAATTCCAGGATCCACTAAAGTGAATTTTAATTATACTTGCTGTTACACTTTAATTACAGCCTTAATTATTAAGCATATACTAGCATGCTTAGAATGAAGCAGTACATAAAGGGATGAAGCAGGCATAGGACTGTGGTGAGAAATGGATCATAAATAGAGATGCTGTGATAGATAGAAATCAGCCTTGTAGAAGAGACTGAGACACTCAGTAAGAGAGATGCCCAGGCACTCAGGCAGGCAAAGGGAGACAGAGACATAGAGGGTGAGGTGAATACTTTGGGGAGAGAGAAGGCAGGGCAGAGATTAAAGCAGGAGTTAAAAGAGAAGAGATACAGTGAAAAGAGAGACAGAAGACAGACCAAAAGCAAAGCAGGAAGGAAAGATGAAAGGAATGCTGGAAATTTAGACAGCAAGAGAATCAGAGAAGGAGGAAGAGGAAGGGTGGAGGAAGAATGAAGAGATGAGAAGGAAGGAGGAAGGAGAGTAACTGAGAGCAGAGGGAAAGGAAAGAGGTTAGAGGGGGAGAGAGGGAAGAAGAGAGGAGGAGCGAGAGGGAGGGAGGAAAGGAGGGAAGGAGGAAAAAAAGAGGAAGAGGGAGAGACAGATATGGGAAAATAGATATATGTAAAGAGAATGGAATAAACATATTGTCAAATGGAGGTTGTAAGGACAAGTGGTCCCCACACCACCAGCTTCTTTAACTATGCCACCATCTATTCTGAGCATTCTGTCTTATTACTGACACCTCTGCCCACAGTGTGACTACTCAGGCCAACTGCCACCTGCTTCCCC